ATGTTATTTGCAGTTGCTCACTATCATCGTCACCCTACATAGCATGCATGTGACAGCTAATAATTTGATGCATGAACCAATAAAAAACTACCACATTAATACATTAAATCACTATCCGTCACATGTATGCCAGTTAGGGCAATTACGGTAATCAGCTAATCTAGATTTATATTCTTAATCTAAGATTTGAAATATGTATAATTTTCTTAAGAATAATATTATTTGTAGTCGCTCACTACCGTTGTCACAATACGTAGCATACATGTGACAGTTAATAATTTGATGCATGGACCAATAAAAAACTATCACATTAATACATTAAATCATTAACCGTCACATGTATGTCACGTAGGGCGATTACGGTAATCAACAACTGCAAATAGCATTACTCTTTTCGTAAATATGGGTCGAATAGACTTGAACTCAAATTTTTTTCGAGATTTCTAGGCTTAGTGTTTGTATAGTTTAACAGCCCCTTGTGTTTTGAAGTAGGTGATTGGAAAAGATTGAACACTTGAAAGGAAATTGACGCAAATGATCTGAAATCATACTCTTTCTGGAAGAGTGGAACATGGATTCGCTGCATTTAAGGACCTATGATGGGCAGTTAGAGGAATTTTCGCTAGATTGGTCAAAGTTGAGCGTGTATTGCACGTGATTTTAAAATACTTTATGAGTGTTGTAAAAATGATCGATTTATTTGCAGGATTTTACGAGTCTCAAACGAACTAAAGAAAATAAAATTTAGGATAAAAATTTAATAGAAGAAAATTGTACTTTCAAAATTCAACTTCTATGATTCAATTTTTTTGTGATAATGAAATAATATAAATGAGCAACATTTTTATACTACATTTTGTACATAAGAATTAATTTCTAATACATGAATTTAGACACCCATTAAAATTCTTAGATACATGAATAGAAATAAATTTATTTATAATAACTCTAAATTCATTATATCAAGATTCGTCAAGTCAAGATTAATATGAATGTTAATTAGTTGAGAATTATGATCAAGTAATATAGTAGTGTGTAGAGTGTCGAACAAACGAGGACTACGTGTTTTATTGAGTTAAAGTTAATAATACCCTTAATCGAATAGTAATAATGATTTGTAATAACTCTATGTCTAATTTATTACATATTGAAAATTAAAATAAAAGTTTATCAAATTTTTTATATGCACTACTAAGATGTAGAATTCTCATTGTTAATTCATTTTTAGTACAACAATTAAAATGATTATTGTTATCACGTGAGCTGATCAAAATTTCAAATTTATTTAAAAATTTCTCTCGATGGCAATTAAATTTAATTTTATATGCGATCTTTCTATATCTTTATAAAAGACACCAACATATAAGAAAGTATTAAACGAGCTAAAACATTAAAAAAAAAAAAAAACATGTGAAACATAGAAATATATCGCTATCCTCTATCGAATCTCAAAATGCTTATTACTACGTGCTAACGATCCTATCATCTCTCTCGATAATAATAGAATCCATAAACAATTCAACTAATGGTCAATTAATTGAAAAGCAAACTAAATCATAATAAACATCCACGCATTCAAATAAATTAACGTCAAAATAATTAATTAATGATAAAAATTTCAAAACAAGGGTTTTGGATTCATCAATATTTTAGCAATGTAAAAATTTAGCATAGCATGATATTGAAATTAAACACGTAAAAAGTAGGACAATATCACCGAAAATTGACGAAACGTGAACAAATCTGAAATTAATTCTATTTTCTGCCTCTGAATGCGTGTACAATCTCTCTGCATAAATTTATAGAATATATATAGATATATAAATCCCAACTGCCTCGGTTTCCGTGTGTATACGTGTGCTGCTTCAATTTTCCGTGTGTATATATGTAACCAAGGCAGCCTTCTCACGAAACTTCCACCGAAATTTCAACCCCTTCTCTCTCCACTCAGCCGCCCGTGTGTATATATAATATGATTTTGCAACCACACCTTTTTTCCTCTCCTACAGGATACACTTGCCTCTTTTTTTTTTTTTTCTCTCAACTTCGGCTCTTTTTTTTTTCGCCCGTGTATGCGTGATATGTATATATTCTCTTCAACAACAGCAAGTAGCCATATTTTAATTCATCCAATAAAAGTCCAATTAAAATTCATTTAATATATTTCTCCAAGTCATCTTTTACAAATAATGCAATTTAATCATTCACTTTCTAAAGTACGAAATTTGATCTCCAAACTTTGCATCCAATAGCCAATTTAGTCTCCGCACTTTAGATTTTGCCACATTTTGCTTCTTTCCTTCAATTCTTTTTTTTTTTTTTTCATTCATAGAGTTTCACCTATTAAACATAAAATACAACAATTTAGGATTTATTTTGTCAAAAGAACTATTAAATATCACTATTTTAGATCTCGAATAAGTGTAAAACATTACACTTCTCAATAACACGAAATTCACACGTGACAAGGATTTTGTAGTATATATTCTTAAAATAATCGAATTGTAGTAGGGTTAAAATTGTCCAAAAAATATTCTCACTTAATGTGATATTCAATATATTATAAATCATGGAAAGACACCATTCAATGATCCTCTTCAACAGCCATTGGATTTCATGCCTAATGACTCCAAGTTTGTAACGAATTACATGTCTTATACAAAATCATCAGAAGCAAAAACTAGGTAACATAGCGAACCGAAACAACATCCCAAATGCGTAAAGAACCAAAAAACAGCAGGTGAGGATCGTCAATGGATGGGAAGAATGACGAAGAGAAATTATAAACCTCGGTTAATCAAGCTGTACAGATACGACAAGTTCAATAATGAGAGGGATTGTGATTCCACAAGTATAATGACCAGTAATTCTAACCACAGACAGTCAGTAATCACATTCGAAGTAAGTAAAGAGTTTTCTTTTTATTTTTCACGAGTTTCATAACACTTAGGCCTCTCATTTCTTTCATTTGACTGCAGCCTCCTATGAATTTGTACTAATGAACAAGATTGGACTTCATGTCACGCATGTTCAAGATGACGAAGACAGATTTAATAATACTGCAATAAATACTTAACAGGAGAGTTTTACCCTCTGAAGCTACCCATCATGAGATTTTGTAATTCCTATTTTCTCGAGGGAGTACCTCTGGAGTTGACTATATCATAACAGCATTAACATTTTTGAACTTTGAAAGTTTATCTCTAGATGCAATTTATAATTTGCCATAATAGCAAAAGATTAATCAGCGAAATTTTATGATAAGTCAGAGAAAAGGGAAGTCAACCTTGACATCAATTACAAGCAGTTTTACTGAGTAAAAAGTTAGGTACCATTCTGGTTTCTTCTAGCTTGGAGCTTTAAGCCATGATAAAGAGATCCAGTCGCCAGTTTGATTTGGCAGGTGACAATAAAGGAACCAAAAGAAGTAACAAACACGATGGAGAGAGACAAAGGAAGATATAAAACCAAAAGTTGGAATGAGATTAACACTGCCAAAGGACAACACGTTATCTGCTACAATGTTTACAATAATTTGTTCGCCATCTTGTCCATTGATTCCCTACGAAGTTCTTGAATATACGTGGAAGAATGCCTAAAGGACATGCTAAGCTACAATTTACTACATCAGCCTCTGCTTGACACTGCATGTCAAAAACTGATGCACACTACAAGATTTATAGCAAGGGCTTTTTTGCACATGCGGCCTGCTTAATTGATCTTCTGGTTTGTGTGTGTTTTCTTTAAATCTCTTGGTCACTTGCAGACTGCTTCACTAATCTTCTGGTTTCACTGTATTTTCCTTGAAGCTCTTAGTCAACCAGATTGCAGTTTCCCTTGAAGATACTTTCCCTGGCCCAAAAGGCTTCAGTAAAACCCCAAGTTCTTCAATTCTATCTTCTTGTAACAATCTCGCACTAAATTCAAGTAATCCTTCCAAAGCTTCAGCTCGTTGTCGGCAAGAAGACATATTAAAACGGCAACGTCTTTGGTCTGATGAAGTTCGGCTTGACGTGCCAGCTGTAGCATTTTGATTGGAAGACTCACTTCCATCCTCTCTAACATTAAATGTAGGTCCTTGAAATCCTTTAGAATTATTGTTGAAGCTCAATCTGTCAAATCTATCAGGGAACTGAATGGTGCATCTATCCTTCATAATAGAGCGGTCACCCTGTGGTGAACTAGAGGAACCTTGCACAGAGGCAGATGAAGTTTTATGCATCGGAAAGAAGGGATCCTCATATGACACTAAAGGAAATTCAATTATCTTATCGATTCGAGGGGCATTGACTGAGATATCTGGAGACTTGATGATGTCGATGTTTCCAAGACTCGGCCTATGACGGAAACTGCAAACTGCATCTTTGGCCCGTAACGGCAGAGAAGCTCTACGAGTAGTAGCGACAGATTTCTTAACCAAGGTTCTTGAATTTTGAAGCTGCATATGAAAAAAAATTCAGTGAAAACATATAACACGAGAAAAATCCTGAGCAATGTCGCTAGCATTTAGTTAGTGCTAAACTTCTAATCCATGTTAAGTTCAGGGAGGGAAGGGGGAATGGAAGGAGAAGGTAGGGATGTATACTTTTTCAACTTTTCCTTATTTTGTGTAAGAAAGGGGAGGGGAAGGGAGGAGAGAAAATTAGTGAGAAGAGAGAAATCACTTTATGCGTAATTCACTGATGTACCCTTAATTTCTTAGTCTACATATTTCAGTTCAGTTGTGATTAGTTTAGTCATTAATGCCTTATGAGAGTAAATAACGATTTCAGGGGTGGGGTACCTACCCTTTACTCTTGCTTCCTCACTGAAATTCAGGTTTCATCTCAACCAACCCATTTGATGTTTACCATTAACTTCCACTTCTGTATTTTCCTCCTACTTGTACCCTTACCATCCATACTTGATACAAATTTAGATTGCTTCAGTTACTTACTAGAAATCTCATCTAACACAAGTGCATATGACTAAAATTTTGTTCAACAGTCAAAGAGAGAGACATTTTAATAATGATGGTGCCATATCAATCACTGCAAAAGAAGATGCCTGTTTAATATCCTAAAATGAGAGGATAATTAAGTTGTACAACTTTCTCATACAATTTATGAAGGTTGAATTTGAGATGTAATAACTAATCTTGGATTATACACTTTGGTCATGCATTCTTATCTTTGGCTTCCTCAACCCAAATTCAAGTATTAATTATTTTAATTAAGAAATTAAGAGTGCAATAGTAGTTTTAGGATGCTATTATATTTATTACTTCAGAGTTAGTTTGACTACCTAATTTCTGCCTCTATCTTATCTCATGGTTATTTCCGTGTAGTAGGTGATACATGAATTTTCAAAAGAATGATTATAAGATTTAAAATCTAGATGATTGTAAACATGCATCCCTCAGTGAGTTGGCTATCAAGTTGATTTTGTTTGGTGTAGATAGGAAATCAAACTCAATTAAAATTAATAAGCAGTTCGTACAGGCAGCTAAATTGAATTATATGTTTTTAGGACCATGCTAGATCACTGGCCTACGTTCTTAAGGTCACTACTCACTAAATACTAAATAGACAATTACAATTGAGATAACTAGCTCAGTAGTTCATTGCCTTTTTTTCCCAAGCAGACAAAATTACTATAACAGATATATTTTCACAAATCCTCTATGCCTCTTTTAGATATGGTCAAGAAACAAAATGCATAATTCAATACACATAATTATCTTGAGATCTTACCGGTTCACGATTCTTAGACAGCTCTGATTTTCTCTTGGACACTGTAGACGCATTTATAGCTGTTGCTTTTGGTTTCTTGGCAATCTTTGAGGTTCTAGAAGTAACATTTTTTGTAATGACGGTCCCTTCATGTGAGCTTCCAGTGGAGAGCTGTTTTATTCTCGGATGCAGATCAAAAGGAGTATTTTCAGTCCTTTGCATTGAAAAACGAAAACTTTGATCAGCTCCAGATGCACTGGGATTCAAAGTCCTGTCGTTTCCACATGATAGTCGTCTCTCTCTATTCACTGGAGGTCGGACATTAATTGGCTCTGAAAATCTAATTTTCCTAGTGTTATTTGTTTCAGTTTCAGCCCATTGAATTCGTAGACTGTTGCGTCTGGGGCAATTGAGTTTCAGATGAGTGTTAACCACATAGGGTTGAAGGTGTGGATGCCTAAGAAGTTCTGCAGCCTGCCACAATGATGATATACTGATTAGTTAAATGGACATATTTCATGATATACAAATATGTGCCACCATACCATTTAAATTGATATCTAATAAAAAAGAGGAAACAAGTTGCAAGGCAGGCTGATATTTCACGTAGCATTTATTCTAAATAACTTACATTTTAAGCTTTTAAAATATGTTTGAGAAGCCAACAAAACAACCCTCCCCAGTTTTGCTTCAAGATGTTTGTCAAAAAACATTTTCTTTTACACTAATGCTTCAACTTTGATTTAACAAATGGAAACAATAACTGCAAAGAATATGATATCCACAGTGGCAATCATGGTGGCAAAGGAGGCAATTACAATTTGGATGGGACTTCTATTTAACATAAGAGGTCACTGGAATATTGAAGGTGATGATGGTATATCAAGCAGGATTGAGTAACAGAAAATCAATGATGCAATTCTCAAGACTTGGATGTCTTTTTGATGCTTACAGTGTTGGAGCATATTTTTCGCATAACCGGAACACTTGAACACCAACAACAGACCAAGCCTTATTTTCAATAAAGCAGGTTGGGAACATAATCATTTTACACCAATATTCATCACAGCAATAATTTTACTCTTTCACATTAAGGCCGGCAACTGATGTTGATCACCCAGGACAGAAAACAAGAGAAAAAGGACAAGAAAAAAAAATACAATAACAACGTGCGTAATATGATATGTAAAATGGGGTTTACAGAACAGAGCTTACATTAGGCCGAAGTTCTGGATTTTTCCGCAGCATGCTTTTTACCAGACCCCGGCTGCAACACAGGCGTGCAAAATAATATGAATTAGCTGGTCAATGGGAGAATAAGAAAACTCCGTTTGAGAAAAATGATAATGACGTTTCCTTCAAAAAACCAAGCTTATAATGCTGTTCATCAGATAAAATTATCTTTGCAATATCTTCGGTACTTGCTAGACATGATTCGGTATTCAAGTCTGTGTGCACTAGATAAAGAAAGAAGTGAATACAACTTCGTGATTCCTATGATTTTGTTTGCTAAAATATAAGTTGTTTGACATAAAAATAAATGTGATATAAATTATAATTTTAGGACAAGTTTCAGAAAATGAAAGTGATGACTAGAAAGAAAGAATAGAACTTGTCTCGAGGAACAACTAGAAAACAACTCTGTGCAATAACTTACAATGCACCAGAGTATTTTGTGGGTAGTGGCGCCACAATAGACTTGTTTATTTTATTGATGAGTGCCTGGATGTCCTGCATGAGAAATTACAGAAATTAGTAACTAGCTCAAGACAAAAAATTACACAGCAGGAACTAAAAGAGTTGACAGGAAGCCTGGAATACATTCAAAATAAATGAAGAGTAGAGAACAAGGTCAAGTGGGGGGCTCCAAGTATTATGTGTGACAAGATTCTATGTAAGTAACACAACCTATCCACTCCATTAACAATGTGCAATATGTTGGCTTACAAGAGCACACCCAAATCCAATCATTATAGACTGGACACAGATCATGCTATTATTATTTATCCTGAAACAAGATAGAAGGATTTCAAGCAAAGTATAAGCTCAATTTCTGTCTAACAAGTGTTTCTTGTTGTTTGTCAAGTTCTAATATTATCCTATGCTGGAGAACGTGCACTACATTTTTAGCAGGAGATTATTAAAAATGTTAAAGTTCCAAAAGAATATTCTTTCCCTTCGCTCATCAGAAGAAGCTTCCAGATCATGCTCTAATGTTACCCTGCCTAGAGTGCAAATTTGCAACTGATATGGTGCTGGAACCACTTGGCCATGCATGCTACTATTCAATAACTCATAACAACTTCGATAGGAATCAGATATGTAGATCTTTTCAAGTCTTTTCCATGTTCTCTGAATGCCTTAGCCATCTTTAACCCATGGTGCATAAGAATGTTTAGATATGTCTACAACCAGTGTTGCATGGACACTTCAACTAGAATGACGTACGACACGTGTCGAATATCGACACTCAGACACTATACCGTGGTCATTTTCTTTCTTTATCATAAATATTATATATTTTTAACTTAAAGTGATTATTGAATAACAAATAGGTACTCTTATTTAAAATATTTCGACAAAAAAAAAATTAATAACAAGTATAAGACTAAGCCCTTGTTTGATCTCCATTATTTCCAAAATACATTTTTCTCTATTCTTTTCGACCACACATTTTTCAATAAAATAATATTACACGAAAATTCAAAATTTTCATTATTTTTTAAACACACATTTTCCATCGATCTACTGTTTCAAAATGCATTTTTATAATAAAATGGGAAACAAACTGGCTCTGAATTTATATTATATAAATGAAGATTTTTAAAAAATTTAATTAACGTGTCGACGACGTATCGTGTCTGAATTTTTAAAAAAAATAACGTATCGATGTGTGTTGGACACACGTGTCCGTGTCGCTACATCATTTGCTAACAACAATTCTTAAGCATCATCCAGTCCATCCACTTTCACATCTAAACAATATAGTATACTTAATATACAATAGCGAATCAAATGCAGAAAAAAAGTTTCCAATTTCTGAAGCCGATGAGATGGTCAGAATCAGCACCAACTGATAGGCATAATATTTATGATTGAATATAGCTCATAGGTAGATGAATTGAAAAGAATTGATGCACCATAATACAGATATTGGAGAGAAAAAAATTACTTCCAATATACAGGTAATGTCACAAGAAAGAGGAACACTCCAAGACAGTTTAATCATCTCCTGTAGTAGGTGCAGGAGATTATTTTATTCGGAAGATATCACACTCCTTTAACACAAATGATTGATAAACAAATCAATCTTATCACCGTGCTTTAAGATTAGGTTAACAGCAACTTACGAAGGCTTTGAATGCAGGTTTAAGTGCTGTCATCTCATATATGCAGCATCCTGGAAGACATGATTTGGTAGACGTTAGAACAATTGAAATAAAATCTATAAACTATGTCAATATCAATTAGGATCTACTTTAATTCCATAGGAATCTGTGTGTGTGTGAACTTATATTACTGGAACTGTGTTTCATTTAGAAAAAATTTAGCTTACCGAGGGACCATATGTCTGATTTGGAACCATAAGGTATATCAGCAAGAAGCTCAGGGCACATATAACTGGGAGTTCCAACTATCTGAAAACAAAACAGCAAGAATGAGAATGATAAGACAAAAACTGAAACGTAAAATAAACCATTTATGCTGACCATAAATTACTTACAGAGGAAGCAAGATCATCTGAAGCCAACATCTTGGCAAGTCCAAAATCACCTACAACAGCAATCGTGATAGTTGAGCAACTCTATTATGGTTGCCAAAAATATGAAATTAATTTAGATGTATACATATTCTCTTACCAAGACGAATATCTCGATCTCTTGTTAAGAATATATTAGAACACTGCAGGAATTTTAGCAACATAATTCCTATAAGCTTTTAATGCACTCAAAAATATGTTATAGTAAATCCACCAAGGAGATAGATGGTTGCATCTAACCTTGACATCTCGATGAAGAATATGATTCATGTGTAAATAGTCAAGTGCCATAAGAAGTTGAACAAGCCACTTACATAGCGTCTGCAACAGTAGCAGTATAATTTAGATGAAAAGAGTCATACAAAGTGGGTGATAATCCACAAAATACTCGGTATCCAGGCACCAAAAAAAAAAAGGCAAAAGAAGAAATTACCTCTTCTGGAAAATGGACACCATTTGCCTTTTTTATTGCTTCTGCCCTACGAACCAGAAGTGGCAGAAGAGTTGAAGATCTATCTATCTTTCCTTTCGGGGTGTGCGTGTGAGTGGGGAAGGACACTTTCACTCAAAAAAATAGATCACTGACCAATGTTATTAGTTCAAAAAAGAAGAATAACTTACATGTCTCCACCTTCACAGTAACCTATGATAATGCACACATAGCAACCCTGAAAAAAAGTTTTAAAAAACATCGACTATAACAACTTTTTGGAGGTCAAGAAGTAAATTAGAAGCTTCGAAATTTCTAACCAACAACACATAAGTTTCTTACAATCATCATCATCATCATCATTATTAGTATTTATTTTTTTTTTTTTTCTTGGTATAGCCACCAAGAAAAATTACTGTTGCCACTTGCCAAAGAAAATGCAAGATATTTGTCAACTGAGTACTGAATTCTATTACATTGTATAGATTATGGGAAATATCTATCTCTAGTTTGTACTTTAGTTACTTCTGATGCAGTAATTAAATCTGCAATTCCTTCAGCTTACAAACCACGGGAAAAAGTCGGGAAAGTTTTTTCTGTCTTGATTTGTACCTCGAAGTATAACAGGCATTGAATTACATGAAGGAAAAAAGTATTATTTCTGATAAGTGACTAAAAGATTGCACTAAATTTCAGTTATATGCAAAGCTAAGGGCATAGTTAACATGTCAAATGCTTCATTATTTGAGAAATTCGATAGATCAAAAGAAGTTCATCTTTCATGCTAATTAAGATCATGACATTTCAAATATTGTTGAAAGTTGGATGAAGCTAGTGACCAGCAACCAATGTAGGAGGAACCTTTCAATATGCTAGTTTGAATGAGCATAGCTTGCACATTGATGGTTAAATTTAATATACCAACTAAAGAAGAATACTCAAGAAAGAAATTTTCCTTAGTATAAATACTAAGGAGGGAAAAATATTAGTACAAACAGGTGACGTTTCTACCTTCTCCACCCATGAATCTTTGTACTCCACGATAAATGGATTTTGCATTTTTGATATAAGCTCCATCTATAAGACACGGGAAAATGCATCATTTTAGATATCGTAAAAGAACAGAAATTTCTAGACGCGTCAATGATTGAGTGTGTGTGCACGCTAGCCAACAATACCAGATGTTGCAAAACCAGTACAGGACTTAAGAAGGATCATTTGCTCCTTTTACTTGAATGTTTAGGAACTAGTGCTAGAGTAACAAGGATTATTGTTTCTAGTACAGTACGGTCAAATTCCCTATTCCTAACAGTCAATCTCAAGAATACAAAATGCTACATGACCATATGAAGTATGAAAAAGATCTACAGATAAAAATGGGGAAAACAGAACAAACCACATTATATGAGCAAGAAAAAAGAAATTAGTTACACCAATAACCTCCTGATGTGCAGATCGACGTGTCCGATTGGTTTGGCGGGCAAGACGGATCTTTTTCAACACGTACCTAACGAGGTAAATTCAATCAATAATGTAAAATGCATTAGCTAATTATTAAGTTACGGATGATGGACATGACAAATGATATAGATTGGAAATGTCAGGATAAGAGAGAAAGGTAAAGACATAATTAGTTTGAAGCTTACTTCTTCTTTTCAAGCTTGTGCCTTACAAGAAGGGCAGAGCCAAAAGCCCCTTTTCCTATCTGTTCCAGTATTTCATACTTCTCCATTGCCTACTAAATTAAATATCTTCAACTCTTGAAGTCGACTTGAGACAAGATGTTGCAGTCTTCTCACAATGCCCGCAACCAAATATCATAAGCTGCTTTAACTTCCCTTCTTTTTGGGGGGGCACTGGGGACCAAAAACAGTACCAAAAAGGAAACAGAAAAGACAATGAGAAACAATTTAAATTACAGTCAAACTGATAAGAATTAGAGATCACATCATAGAACAGTTTACTTGACAATAGCACATGCATAAGAAATATATAGCTATAGCGCTAGTGCGATGTACTACAATAATTACATCAAATTTTTATTTAAATTTTGAATAGGAATAATGCATTAATTCTGGACAAGAAATAGCATATTTAATTCCCTGAATAACTGAAAAATAATAAAACAATAGAGATCTTTCAGTAAATGAGCGGTTACATACCATGAATTTAAAGGACGTATTTTTATAGAAATTTGTAATGAAGATCCACTCCTAAAATAGAGAGAATACAATGAGTTATACATTAGCATTGTTGCAGAAAAAAGTAAAAACTAACAACAGAAAGCTCAGAAAATTATTCTTCTAGCAAAGCAAAGGAAAGGAAAGCGAATCAAGGACCTGAGAATAGCAAATGCAGCTGAAAATGAAACCGAAATTCAACAAATTACACAATATATAGAGTAAAATAAGGTCACGGTCAATTCAACAGATTCATTCATTGAATTCATAGAAAGAAACTTCAAAAGGAAAGAGTAAAGCTGTAAATGTAAAAAAAGGAAAAAAGAGATAGAAAAATCACCTGAAACGCGTAGTTTTAGTGTACTGCGGATCACGAGCTGCTTCGAACAGAGAGAAAGTGAAATGCGACCAAGGTAGTTGAGCACATCACCGCAAAACGACACCGTAGCAATGCCGGTACGGCAGACGATTAGCAGGAAGAAGAAAAAGCTCTCTCCCTTCCACTGCCATTGTAGCTAACACATTATCAGAGAGAGAGAGAGAAAGGGACAATGTACAAGTGAAACAGAAGCAGACAAAAACGAGAAAGCGGGATTATTAATAAACTAGGATTAGTTTAAGAAGCTTAGGATGATTAAAAATATATATTCTATTTTAGCCTTGTTTGATCCCATTTCCGGGAATGCATTCTTGAACAGTGATTCTTGGAGAATGTGCGGTTAAAAAAGAAAGAACTTTTTTCGATTTACATGTAAAATTATTTTATTGGTGAATGTGTGATTGAAAATGAATTTTTAAAAAATAATTATTTGATAAAATGAGGGTCGAACAACTTCTTAGATTCATTTTATATATATAAAAAAAAAATCGTAGTGTTTCACTTTTTATTGTACACTCATCAATATTCATTCACTTCGTATTTGAGTAATGCTATTCATTCTCACTGGGGGTTAGGTGACGTCGATGTGACATTAAATATTAGTTATTTAATTTCACTTTTCATTTAATCTATCATTTAGAGACACCTAGACTGTGTTTGTAACTTCACTGAAGATGAATAATATTACTCTTTTTATTTACGTGTTCCATAAAATTCACAAATTATAATTTATAAAGCTTTTATCAAATGTACACGTCTGACAGTTTATAATTACTTACTAGCTCGTTAACTATATGTTTGTCCACAATTAAGATGCTGAGCTATTACATATAAGCATAGTATAATTTATGCTTGATATTAGGTGTAACAACTATTGTCTACTATAACCAAAGAAAGCTATTCAATCTACAATCTACGTAGAGCACTTCATGTTAGGCCACTTACCAGTTACTACTATGAGGCCCTCTACATTCAAGATGAGCCATCTGCCGCTCCCTCTACATTCATGCTAGATCGTCTATCGCTATGAGACCCTCTGCATTCATGCTGGGTAGTCTACCGTTATGAGGTCCTATATATTCATGCTGGACCGTCTACCCCTATAAGATCAATGCAATACTTAACTATAAAAAATATCATTGAGTTGGAGGGGAACATATCAGCGATTATCATGGACATAACCAACCGCTGAATATGTGAAGGTCATCCGTTCAGGAAGTTGGGGTAGTGGGAGGCGCTACGTGGGACACCTGTCGCTATAACCGTCCGACAGTTATGTAGTTTCAGACACCTATAAAGACTCCTAAGGTAAGGCATGTATGGTTCTAGAGACTCGGGCTATCCAAATAAGTATTTGATATTTTCTTCCTAATATTACGTTCTTGAATCCCTTACTAATTCTTGCACTGGAGGTAAAATGAAGGAGAAAACCCCAACCTCATTTTGTACGTAGCTTTTGTTCATAGAGCAGCAGAAATACCTTGCACCGCCAGGAGGCCAGGAAAGCTTCATTCATAACAATTTCACTACTTATAATCTAATAAAAGCTTTGTCAAACACGCTGAAGATTTTAATTTTTCGTCTCATCATTAGGAATATCGATAATTTGAAGTGATCATACCACACATGGAATTCTAGTAGAATGTCCGTCAAAGCAATTTTATCTATTATTATGCATGCGATTTGTAATTTGTTAACTCAAATTTATTGTCCTTCAATATATTTTGATATTGCGATATATAATTTTTTCGACATATTTTTGAATAATGTTACTTATAGTGAAAACTCATTGGGAATAATCTTACATGATATATACATGACAGTTTGTTGTTGATGAATTAATATTGGAGGTTTTTATTGTCTTATATGTCAAATAAAAAATCTCATATGTATCTCATATAGAACGACTATTAATACTCTTCACCATAAATAGCACTATTCTTGACCTTTTGTACCTTGACGATTTTCTTTTACGACATATTGGTTGTGGTCGTGGAGACGTGACACTAAGAAGCTGATTTACAGATCTTTATGAAATTGAGTGGGTCCCACACAATGGTTGAATTCGCAGCAAAAAGTAGAAAATTATTGATTTTTATTTATTTCGGAAGTGAGGCGTTGAATGGATGGGAGGCCAAAGGTATAGAACCCCTACAGTTGCAGTTCCTGCAGTGTACCTTTGGAACACATCTTCCCAAGTCAAAAGTATTCAGTTTAGTGATGCTTTTCGTCCGCAAAGAGGCGAACTGCAGGAATAAGTAACTGCAGAAGATGTGGACCGACAATAGAGGCAAACAACGTGGGGGCACACTCGTAGTTTCCGCGAGTCATACTATCACGAGACCGTTTAATCCTTAATTTCAACCAATTAGCAACAACACCCCTTTCCAAATGTTTGTTGAATAATCATTTACTGCAATGTCACATGGGGTGTCCCTTGCCCATACTTGGCAAAGTTAGGGCCATGTTAACAATATGCAATAATATTTGATTTTTAGGACATCCATACAAATAAATAGCACTAATATGTATGTATTTTTGCCGGGGTTCTAAAAGACGTAATGCGTGTAGCCAAGCTATGGGCTATGCGAGTTTAGGCGAGGTATATGCGTAAAAAAAACATAAATAGACGTTTTATTATTTTAATTTTTAATCAATTAAAAATAATAATTACTAAACATATAAAACAGATTTATAGGAACTTTATACATTTTTTCAAAATTTCCAACAAAAATATAAGTTTCAAATTTAAATACAAATAGTAAGTAAATAGCATATAAACTTAAATCTTATCTAACTTTTTATCGATCTCCAATTCAGTATCATCTTCTTCATCTAATTCATCATCTGTATTTTCTGATTCAAAATCCTCTTCGTCGGGCTCCCTTATTTCATTCTGAGCATTTATAGTACATCTCGAAGGTTTTAAGATATCATTTTCTACCCTATCATACTTCTCATTATCACAACCTTGAAAAAATGGGTTCAAATGGTTGTTTTAAATTAGGGCAAACTGAAAAAATTAACCTTTAATAATTTTTAACTTCAAAAAAATTATTAAGCAAACTGAAAAAATTAGCATTTAAAAATTTTGAACTTCAAAGAATTGTAAAAAAAAAAAAAAAGAAGAAGAAGAAACTAATGTAGGCCTTGGCGGGCATAATTCACCTAGGCGAGCATTAGCGGTCAACAATTGTCGTTGACCGCTAATATAAGAAGTGGCTTGTCATTTTGGCATCGCATCACTCCTATGCTTTTAGAACATTGATTTTGGCACACTTTTAAAATAAAAATAGATTTTGTGAAAATAATTTTTTTAAACGTGTGATTGAATAAGTACGAAAAAATTAGAGATTCATGTGTAAAATTATTTTATTGAGAAAAAATGAACTTTAAAGAATCGGTATCAAAAAAAAGGCTTGATGTATCTATCGTATTAGACTGATTATAATATAACTATCTAATCTTATCCAATTTTCGTACAATTAATAATCGAATAAAATTATTTCAAGGTGTTTATCTCATCACTTTAGCTATAAATAATTATGTACATATATTGTATTGGTGAGAGACTTTTAAAAGACGTTGTCCATTCTTCTTATGTGTTGATATTTTTAATGCAATCCTTATTAGTATTATAGATGCTCTTAGTCAATTGCATAAAATTAATACGTTATCCAAATGGTATAAAATTAGACTAATACTATTTAGAAATCAATAATGTTTAACGCCAATCTAGATGAGATGCACCTGTGATATTAAATTATAGGTTTAATTAAGCCGATGTTTGATTCTCATTATCTAAAAATTCATTTTTTTTAAACTTATGTTCAACCATACATTCTCACGGTAAAAAAATTTTGTACGTAAACTCATTTTTTTTTTCTATTTTTTAAACACATTTTCTCAGAAAAAAATTAAAAAAAAATTAATATTACAAAACTCATTTTCAACAAAAATGGGATTCAAACATGCCCTAAATACAAAAAAATTATGGCTCATTTAATATGATCCATGATGGAAAAAAATACATAATTACCATAACTTCAAAATACACTTTCAAATTTAACAACCTCGATGAAGTCTTTCAAAATCAGGTGATCACATTTTATGATATCTCATAAAATATTGTGACATTTAACAAATAGGTCATGTTATCAATAAACACGCAAT